TCCATCATTACTCTGATCTCGAACGTCAAAAGAAAGATACGAAAATGACCTATCAAACTACCGATGGAGACTACTACGTCGGATTAGATCCCCCAGCGGACGCAGAACCACTTGGTGTCTGGTATCCTCGAGCTGGAACTCTTGGTGGCTGCTCGAACCATAACGCTATGATTTCAATCTACCCACACGAGAGCGATTGGCAATACATTGTTGACATTACCGGTGACGATTCTTGGGCTCCTGACAACATGCGAACATATTTTGAAAAGATGGAGCATTGCGATTATCTCCCAGAAGATACTCCCGGACATGGCTTTGACGGATGGCTCCATACAAGTGCCACCAATCAAACTATGATTGTTCAAGATGACAAGATTAATTCGATCGTTATCTCTGCCGCTGATGCTTTCGCAGTAAATGCATCTGACTCGATTCTTGCGACTGCTGAAGGCTTCGATCAGGTCGTCTCTCTAGATCCTAATAACCCATTACCCACGCGAGACAACGACACTGGATTGTACCAGATTCCAATCGCTGTTGATGGAAGAACAAGAAACGGAGCTAGAAATTTCATTCTCGAAACAGTGAATGCAGTCAATGCTGACGGATCCAAGAAGTACAAGTTGACTCTCAAACTCAACACATTCGTCACAAAGATTCGATTCTCCAACGATACCACACCTCGCGCACTCGGAGTCGACTTTTTGGAGGGTAAAAGTCTGTACAGAGCTGACCCCAGAGCTGGAAAGAATGGAACTCAAGGTACCCCCGGCAGTGTCAACGCGAGAAAGGAGGTTATCATTTCAGGCGGAACATACAACAGTCCTCAGCTCCTCAAGCTCAGTGGTGTTGGACCCAGAGCCGAACTCGAATCATTCAACATCCCAGTTCTAGTTGATCTTCCCGGTGTCGGTACCAACATGCAAGATCGCTACGAAACGACCCTCATCTCTGAATCTGACGTTCCATTCTCCATCGCTGAGGGCTGTACCTTTCTCACCACTGCCGATGATCCCTGTTTAACGCAATGGCAAAGCGACACTGCAGATGCAGGACTCTACGCCACGCCCGGCCTCCCGCTCGCCATGATTGCGCGATCCAGTACCGCAGAACAAGATCCCGATCTCCTGATTTCCGGCGCCCCCGCCAATTTCCACGGCTATTATCCAGGCTATTCCGGTCCTGCTCTCGGTGATGCTCTACACTGGAGTTGGATTACGCTCAAGGCTCACGCGCGTAATACTGCGGGGACAGTCACCCTTCGATCAAGCGATCCACTCGATACTCCATTAATCCAGATGCACTATTTCGACGAAGGAACATCGACTGATGATGCATGGGAAAAAGATCTCCAGGCAATGTATGAGGGCATGTCACTTTCTCGCCAGATAATGAACAGTGTTGTTCCGCTTGACGGATCGTTCAATGAGTCATGGCCTGGAGCAGATGTTTCCACAGAAGAAGAACTCAAGGAATTTATCCAGGATGAAGCTTGGGGTCATCATATTTCGTGCACCAATCCTATTGGTGCTGATGACGATGAAATGGCGGTTTTGGACAGCAGTTTTAGGGTTCGGGGAACGAGTGGTTTGAGAGTAGTTGATGCGAGTGTTTTCCCTAAGATTCCGGGATTCTATATCGCGGTGCCGATTTATATGGTTAGTGAGAAGGCGGCGGCAGTTATCATTGAGCAGGATGCGGCGGGAACGAGTTATAGATAGATAGTGGTTGGTTGAGTGGAGGTTGAGGTTTGATTTTTGTATTGTCGTGGGTTTTTCATTCTTCTTTCTTGCAATTACTTACGGAGTGGTGGTGCGGGTGCAGGTGGTGTCTTTTTTTGCTATTGGTATTGTTATTGTTGTTGCCTTTTTTTCAACGGATTGGAGTTGCTTTCATTTAACGGGTACTAGATGTAGATAGTTATTCTTCTATGGGGTGTTTAGACTTGCGTTGGCGGTTTGTTAGATGCTGTAGATAGTTATTAGAATTCATTCATTGCTTACCAACCCATCTGTCTTTGCAAAATTTTGACACTCGCTACCCACAGGGGTGATATTCAAGGGACCCCATTTGGACGTTCTTGCTTCGAACTAGTTTGACGCTAAGGTCTGATTGGGCAAGTACCTTGTTTATCTTTATTAGGGTATAGTTTTCAACTCGTCTCTTCCTTCCTGGTATTTTTATTGCTATCTTTTTGAGGGTAAATCCTGCCACTATTACCATCGTAGTTTATCGTATGGTTCAAAAGTTGTTCGAATTGATTATTGTTGACACAGTAGGTTGTGGCCACACCCACAAACTCTACGACCTCTGCATCGCCGCGCGGAGACATCTCGAATTACCGCACGCAACTACCGGTACTAATACGGAGTCCGAGCATTTCAATAGCTAATCGTCTCTAGAGACCAAGCGCTCACCACTGCATAGGAAACAGGTATACACAGAGTAGTTGATAACCATAACGAGATGTCCCGGCAATTGAGGTATCTGCCCCTATGCTGTCCAGGGTCTAAAATGAGATTATTTCTGACAGCGTCGATCTGTACGAGAAGAGTTGATGATCTACTGCGTATGTGTGCACTGACACATTGCCCATTCGGTATATTGAGCATCGTAGTCTCCGCCGTTGGAAATTATGCTTTTATATTGTTTCCTCCTAAATAGCCTTATCCCCACATTGTTGACGAAAACAACGGGCATGCTAAAATCATCATATCATATGTGCCTAGCTTGTACAGTGGGTTTGGGGGCGCACGACAATGATGTATATACCGCCTGGTTTTTGATTTGTGTATTCATGGCACTAGCAAATGTATGCGGTTTTTTTACCTTGACAAATTTATCATCTTGTTGAATCATAATTATGATATTGAGATGATATGATATGCAGTGATTAATGATCAGAAAGTCAAAGTTTGGTACCTTGGTTTTTCTGACCACAATGCTCCTCATTTTATGCTTTGGAATTTTGATATACGGAGTAGACACTGGAATTCCCGGTTAGGAGGCTTCTTTTTAGCCCAATAATATTCACCGTCGTTGGAAAATCTCTGCATGGTTAATTCGTGCTCCATGACGATCTTCACTATCTCGTCTCTTTTGGTTGCTGTTCTTCGTGTCTTCTGTGGAGGCCGTATGATTATTTTCCAACTATTTTACTCGTGCTGCCAGCATATCGAAATACAGAGTGGATCTGCATGTGCATCAAAGCTGTCTTGCTTGGGTAGTTTCCATGTTTAGATTTGCTGGAAGGAAGAGCAGGTACTTTCGGGAAAATAAAAGCCTGGGCGATCAGTGACCACAAAGGTGGGACGTCTTGTTTCGTAGATGAGAAGATGTCCCAAATGCCTAGTCTTTGAACATCCACTGTACAGCCATCAAAATCTCCTGGGGTTCAATAGCTCCTGTCTGCTTCCCCTTTCAAGCATTGATGTGATCGTCGTGCGCATTCAAATTCTGATGACGATGTGAAGTATATATGGATTCCTGTATATATACCCCATCATTCACTTTCTCATCTCATTCTCACTATCACTCATTCATCCAACTACTACACTTTCCTTAAAAACCCCACGTTCTTTACAAAAACAAATCCATAATTTTTTAATAATTCTCTAATTTTCCAATCTCCAATCTCAATCCCTCAAAATGCAATACAAAGCCAGCCTCATTGCCGTTCTCGGCCTCAGCGCAACCTCCTTTGCCGCACCCCAAGCTTCCATCCCCAAGCTTCCATCCGCTGCCTCCGTCCTCTCCGAGCTCCCCTCTAACCCAGTCTCCGCTCTCCCAATTCCAAGAGATGCGCAAAACCTCGCCTCGCCTTTCTCAGCTGTCGAGGGTGTCGTCTCAAAGGTTGGAGCCAAGAGACAAGTTGGAGGACTCACCGGTATCACTAGTGTCGCCTCACCTATCGTCTCGCCAGTAACTGATATTCTGGCCGACGTCGCTATCAAGCGTAACATCGTTCAAGTCACCGACGTTGTTACCTCCATCAAATCAGTCAGAACCACCGTCGTTTCTGATGTTTCTTCCATCAAAACTCTCATCACCTCTGTTGGTACCACTGCAGCCGGTCAACAAGGTCTTGCCGAGGAAATCATCAAGGATTTGGGTGATATTGTTGCTGCGCTTACTGGCGCCGTTGATGGTGTTCTCGCCCAGACCTTACCAACTGTGCTTGACGTTATCGTCACTGAGGTCACTGATGTTCTTGCTATCTTGTCCGATGTCGAGGCCATTGTTTTCCAAATCGTTCAAGTACTTTCAGACCTTCTCGGTAGTCTTTTGGACTGTATGTATTCCCTTTTTGCTTTCTTCCCTTCCTGTCTTCTTATAGACCGTCCCATGAAATATAAAACTAACTCTCTATAGCAACCTTCGAACTCGTCACTGCTGAAGTACAGGAAGTCTACAGCCTTCTCAGCCCAGTCCTCACTCCAATTCTCAGCTTTGCTGGCCTTGTCCAAGGTGATGCTGGTGTGATCCAAGAGGTTAACACTGCTGTCGGTGGTATCTTGACCACCGCCAACGGACTTTTGAGCGAGAAGGGATTGAAGGAGATCGAATTGTAGATTGTGATCTTCGGAAATACTGGAGATGAGGAGTAGTACTTGAAGGGGATGGTAGATGAGGAGATTGAATTGGATTGGAGATTTATATGTAATTATTATGAGATTAGATTTAAATTTAAATAAAGTAATATTTTGGTCGTCATATGATGTTTCGTTCCCTGTGCGAAAAGTTTACAGTAAGAAATGCTTTGCTCTTTGCAATTAGGTACTGGATTCCTCGTCGGCATACCACAACACGTCCAATAACCATACGTAAGTGCTGCAGAATCAAGAGAAATGTAGTTCATGATCACTCTGGAACATAGCAGGTAGCGGTTAAAAGAACGCGCCGTGACACGAATGGTAATAAACGGCTCTTCACCTTCACCCATGTCATGGCTACCGCCAACTGTTGCCTATGTCGTATTGATTTGAGATAGTTTACCAGTTTTATCTAAAATGATTTATCACTACCGTCCGATTCTTAGAATTAATTATCGAAGTAACATTAGATTTAACTCTAGGACGCAGGGAATCAACCATATGTGACGTCTCATTAGATTTAACTTCCGGGCGCAGGGAATGATCCATATTCGACGTATCAAGTACCCCAAGTCTGGAAATTGCATCTTTCATTGTGAGGCATTCCCAGTATGGAACCCCCTCTTTTGACTCAATTGGGCACGTCAGTGCCTGCAGTGTCAATGCATCAAGCCAGAGGTGGAGGGTATCGTCCTCTATATCTTTTGCGTTTCCTCCAGATTTCAAAATAGTGTCTGCATAAGAAGTCATGACCGCTCTACTGACGAGTGGGTAATGGTCGCGCCTTTGACGAATGATCAGCGTGATATCAGTGTCTTTCAAACGACGGATGGAATCATTCTCCCGGACTTCAGCAGAAGCAATGCCAAACTCTCCTGTGCTAGATATAAAAAATCCTGTTTCGTGAACTCTGCCAGATCTGACCGAGGTTTCTTCGGTCACAGACTTTCCAACATCATAACACAGTAGACTTTCTCCCGTAGCGTAACCAAATTCACTGTCGAAACCCTTCAAGCTTTTCTTACTACAGGAATCCAAGTCTCTGATTTTGCTCGAGACAATCTTCCATGAGCTTTTAATATCCGGAAATTCCATTTTCAATCTTTGGGGGAGGTCATGCTTCGCAATGTTAGACGCGACAACAAAGCCTTCCATATAACCACGATAATTGAACAATTTTGTCTGGTCTATTTGTTCTCCATCACACCAGTTCAAGGCCATTGCAGGCGGTGGGATAGGACCATTCAATGCAAGTTGTAGACTCTGACTCAGTCTTATGATGCCGAGAGCTGATGACCCTGTTGATCGCCTTTGATTATAGCAGTTAAGAATCTCAACATATGCATCAAACAAAGGTCGAGCATAATCTACAGGAAAATTGCAGAGTTCCGTGTCACTGACTATTCCTAGAAGACCATATATTTTATCGGCTTGGACTTGGCATTCGGAACTCGAAAACATTTTTAGCAATGAATCGAAAGGCCATCTTTGAGTGCCAGTCTCTCTGAGTCTGTCAAAATTTGCGGGTGCACTCTCTAAGATAGCTTCGATAAATTTCATCTTAAGCTTGCTGTCCCAGCTCGAGGTAAGTGAAGATCTCAGACTCTCCAAAGTATGTCTAGCTCAACTCCATTCCGCCCAGGCCACAGTTCTCAGTCCTGGACTATGTTCATTGCTCCAGCAAATAGCCAGGTCCTTAGCAAGAAGGACTTCCTGCACAATCCATAAACGATTCCAATATGGTCTGCCGCACAATTCGCCAAGAGATACAAGTTCTGCCCCTAGAAGAAGCTCATCAATCCCATCGGCAATATCTGTTTTGGAAAGTTTGCTAGCTGGATCTTTCTGCAATGCAGCTAGATTTTTGATTGAAAGAAGTCCAACATCAGGTATCAAAGTCTCCACATCTTTCCCAAACCCTTGGTCAGTCTTATCACCTAACCACACTATAACTTCTGTTGCCTGCTTATAAATACTGCCCATTTGCATGACCTGGTGGTTTCGCTCATTTACATCATCTTGGTTGATGCATAAAGCGTCGATCCACAGAAAGGAAGTGATTGGGCGAATATGCACCAAGGCATTTACTAGATTGGCCCGCACTTCCACTCGTATGCCGTCAATAACTATGCAGCTTAGGGACAGATCCTCTCCCCACGCGTAGGATAACGCAGAATATTCTGGATGAGCACTGAGCGACTTCACGACGAGCTTGAAGGTTGGAAGGTTGTGGCAACTCGTTGATTCGGGGCAGATGGTTACTCTTTCTAGAAGCCTAATCTGGTCGGAGGATCGGTCCAGAGGTTGATAAAATTCGGCAGTAGGTTTCAAGGGAAGCGCTGCAGAATGCGGGTCCAAAGAAGTATTTAAAACACTCCTCAAATTAAAACTTGACCGATTTGATGTCCTCCTTGTGGATACAGTTGGTATTCCCGCGTGTTCGGACATTTGCATCGTCGGCACTGTACGACTATTTAGTTGACGCCATTGTTTGAAGTAACCGGTTATACAATTTAATGAGATCTGAAGACTCGTCGTAACACCTGATATAGCTGGATTATGAACCACCTCAACTAGCACTCTCTGCCGTTTCTGACCTTGGCTTCGTCTCTCATACCTTTTTAACATATGACCATTTCCATGTCTAGAGATGTCTAAACTATATGCAGCATGCCCCGTATTATGAACCAGCACTGTTTCTTTGGTTCTGTCTCTCCTCCGATTATTCATAACTGCCGGGTTCATACCTCTTCAATTCAGAAGTAAAATATGGGCAACTGGAGATTGTATGTTTTAAAACTCGAGCAGTTGTTCTCATATGTCTGACACTTGGGATAGGATGTATATGAATTAATTTGCATGAAAGTAAGTTCTGGTGTCCAGCCTCATTGGTGCCTGGGTGCTGACTTGCTGGCGCTATTGAAGGTGGTGGCATTGAAGATAGCCAATCAAGAACCCTTCACAATGTATAACACTAGTTCAAGCCCCTTGGTTGCAAGTGGAATATTTGCATTCGTACGCACGCTGGACCCATGGAAACATTTTCTGGTTTGCGTCAAAGGTAGTCTGCATCTGGGTTAATTGGAGTACGCAGGATAGAATTGTGTATCATTTGGCAGCCGAATTGATGGAACAAATCTTGAGTTTCTGGTATCGAATGTGAAGTGGGGTATCTTGAGAAAAACGAAACAAGTCAACGGTCTAGCAATGTCATGTCCCTTTCTCTTTTTCCATTTCCTTTTCTAATCGTTCACTTCGCTCCTTCCATAATCTCCGAAGCTCAAATCCTACCTCCACAGCAATGAGAACGATAATGATCCACTCTAAATGAATACTATGTTTTTCGCTCATCGTCTCCCGAAGAATCGTTGCGATTTCCTGGGCATAGTCCATCTTCTGGTTCAGAGTCTTGATCCGTACACCAACATCAAGAGCCCTCCCAACCTGATCATAATATCCTTCCAGGCCCAATTCATGCCGACTGTCCCAGAACAGATCCGGAAGTGAATCTGTAAGCTCGGAATAGTGGTTCAACCGCGCTCGTAAATCGAGTAGCTCTCCAGTCTTTTGTAACATAAATTGCCGATTGAAGGGTAGTCTTGACCCTCTGGAAAGTAATGTAGGTATAGATTTAGTAGATTCGAAGTACTTGGATAGCATAGTCTCGAGGACCGCGAGTTTTGTTGATCTAGCAAGACCAGAGGAAAAGGCTATTTTCGCAAGAGTTGTGTCGACTTGTGAGCTACAGCAATAGTTAGTGTACAATATTCATGACGCGAATACGACTGAGTATAGCATACCTTATACGTCCCTCGCTTGGTGAGTCCTTCGTCCCTAACACAATGGTGTCTCCTCTGATACTGCTGTTTTCCCGTTTGGGGTCTTCCTCGCATTCCAGATCTTCTATCTCAACGTTGCCAACATGTGAATCAATAGCAGCCGGCAATAGGGTCTTTGTTGCCAAATCCGTAACTACATCCTCAGGCAAAGACCATGCCACAAGTGAACCCGAAGGAAACACAAATATATCTCCATTATTGACCCCTCGTGTGTGTATAACCTCATCGGATTCAAAGCCAGTTCCATCCGGGTCAATTGAGAAACCATGCGATCGTAGAACTCGAGCTACAGCTTCCATATCAAAATGATCTGCCACGGAGATAGCAATAACTCTATTTGTGCCTACAACATTTTCAGAGGTGACTTCAGGTCGAGTTATGTTCTGCCTGGACCTTTGAGCTTCAACTGCAACCCTCCTCAAACTCGTCTTCCCAGCAGGCGACCGTAAAGGTTTTCTTTTCTGCACCGGCTTCAGCTCGGCTGCTGATTCAATACTTGATGATGCGACATCTTGTTGGAGGGTAGCATTGGAAGAAAAGAAGTTCCGTTTTCTAGGGTATAGCGTCGGTGCTGAAGCATGGAGGCATCGATAAGGAAGTTGTAAATTATTTCCACCAATGGGCCGTTTAACTGCGACAGAGCAAAATGAACGAGAAAAAGACTTCATAATGATTGCAGACCTTATCAGTCATACAGCATAAATCATATAGAAAATTGTCCATCTTTGCGGGGGTTCGAAACAAATTCTTAGGATCATTGAAAATTAAATTTACTGCCGAAAGCCTAGAACTCGGCTATCTCAGGTTGCTCCAAACCTCAATGGCATTGACGTCGTCGGTGTAGCTACCCCTGCACATCCTTGACAACAAAAGCAAATGTGATCGGGAGAGTCTGCCGTTATGGCTGAAGGGTCAGAAGAACAAAGCGACACCAAAAACCTGGACAGGGTTGAGTCCAGTCAAGGTGGAACTGAAACCGGGGACGATGATGACACCGTTGAGACAGAGTCGGAGGATGGGGAAGAGGAGGACGACGAGGAGGATGAAGAGGAGGAAGAGCCCAAGCTAAAATATGCTCGAATGACAAGCCATCTTGGACCAGTCTATAGAAATGGAGATGCTACAAGTACCTTCCTGGTTGCTGGCGACAAAATGGTAGACCTCCACCACCAGGTGACCGTATTCCTCAAGCTAACTGTTTTTTAGTTTGTTGGTACACATAATGGTAATATTGTATGCTACGGTCCCTCCCTTCCCCCAAGTAATCTGCTAACAGTTTATGCAGCATGTATTGTCGTTGCCTTCATTCAAGTCTATTCGAACCTACCATGCCCATTCAGCTTCAATTACGAGCATATCTATATCCCCTTTTCCCCCTCCTTTACCCACACCAGTTCCCGAAGCTGTACAACGCTTTACGTCGCGCGTGCAACCAGAAGCTCCAAATGCACCGCAAAGAGCCCCATCAATGGCATCCCAGGCCTCCGCGAACACAGCTCGGAGTCCTGGAGGTCCGGTAGTCCCCAAAACTCCTTCGAACGCAATATACATTGGCACATCTTCCGTTGATGGCAAGGTATGCATAGCATCCTTGGTTGATGTAAAAGATGTACAGTTGAGGGATTTTGCAAGACCTGTCCAAGCTGTTAGTTTGTCGCCGGATTACAAAAACGATCGCTCATATATATCGGGTGGACTGGCAGGAAATCTAGTGCTTACCGTCGGCGGCAAAGCAGGTACAAGCTCGACCTCTACCACTACAGGAAGTGCAGCGGCCACTGCAAGTGGTTGGCTGGGGACTATTGGTCTAGGAACGCATGCTGGGAAGGATACTGTATTACACTCCGGCGAAGGCACAATTAATACCATCAAGTGGTCCTTATCAGGAAGATATGTGGCATGGAGCAATGAGCATGGTATTAAGATTATGAGATCTCATCTACAACTGGATAGTGCGGATACTGAATCTGCTTGGAAGCGAATTGGGCACATACCTCGTCCAGATGGAGAGCAATGGGAAGATATGGCTAGTGTTTGGAAAGCTAGAGTTGAATGGATAGACGAGAAAACTCTTGAAACTGATGAAGATGACAAAGCTCGCGAAGCATCATCTGCTTCCCCAGCCACAGCAAAATTGAGATTGCAAGCCTCGAGAGACAAACTGCGTATTGAAAAGCTGGTCGTTGGATGGGGCGGTACGATCTGGATGATTAACGTGCACCCTGGTGGAACCGGTGTTGGAAAGAATGTGGGAGAGCGCACAGTTGGTAGCGCTGAGATCATCAAAATGTGAGTTGCAAGATTTGAACTTATTATCACGGTGTTTCAAGCACTTTTCTAACATTATTAGGTTACGGATGGATTGCATAATTTCTGGATTATCGTTATATACCCCAACTTTACTTGTTGTACTTGCTTATGTTATGCCTGATGAAGAAGAAGAAGAAGAGGAATCTATTCCACAGAAAGGACATAAATCGCATCCGTCAACAGGTAGCGAGCCGAGCGGTGGAATACGGCGTCGACAAAACGCACTATCTCCAGAACTTCGTCTTATTGATCTTGCAACATCCCAAGAAGTTGATACTGATGGATTGACGGTCAGCCGTTATGAAAGGCTCTCAGCTGGTGATTATCACTTGTGCGTGTTGCCTGCCGCTCGAGATCAACCAGTAGTTCAATCATCTCGTGGAACTCTGGAAGCCCTTACTGGAATGGGTAGTGGTATGTGGAATGCTACAATTAACGCTACAGCACTGTTGAGTTCCAGTGCAAGTGTGATTAGCAATGGAAGTACAGGTGATGGTGATTCGAAACACGCATCAATTAGATCGAAAGCTACTCACCACAATCGCGCCACGGCTGCTCATCCGCACATCATCACACCAGGGATGAAGATCTTCATCCAAAGTCCATATGACTGCATTCTGGCTACAAAGCGAGATTTATCTGACCATCTTGCATGGCTGCTAGAGCACGAAAAGCACCAAGAAGCCTGGGAACTGATAGATGAACACCCCGAAGTGATCTCATCTTCTCCCGAAAAACTCTCTGAAATTGGGCCAGCAACTCCGGATCGAACACGCTCAAGTAGTGATGATTTTTATGATAACGAAAGTACGACCATCGAGTCTGCAAGTCGCTTAATTAACTCTTCTGTGGAAAAAGAGAAGCGTAGGATTGGTGAACTTTGGATTCAATCATTGATTGAGAACGATGACTGGATCTCTGCAGGCAGGATATGTGGCAAAGTACTGGGTACATCGGATAGGTGGGAACATTGGGTCTGGACATTTGCTGGAAAGGATAAATTCGATGAAATTACCAACTTTATACCGACGGCACAGATCACGCCACCTCTGCCTTCCACAATATACGAGATCGTACTAGGGCATTATATCACCCATAACTTACCACGAGTTGGTGAATTGCTCGATCAATGGTCTCCTGACTTGTTCGATATCAAAGCTGTAGCCACAGCTCTAGAAAACCAGCTCAAATACCGAGATGTCCGCCAAGACAGCGTAGAGGATGGCAAAATTGGTAGGGATTGGCGAATTGTCATGGAAAGCTTAGGGAAGCTTTATGTGGCTGATGGTCGACCTCGCGAGGCTTTGAAATGCTACATGAAGCTGCAGGATGCAGATACCGCCATGGGTCTTATTAAACAATATCATTTGGTGGACGCAGTCGCAGACGATCTACCTAGTCTTATCATGCTACGCGTTTCGAAAGAGCAGAAGCGACATGCTCCTATTTCAGAATTGAAAGAAGCCACTTCCGAGGCTATTCAATTACTTGTTGACGAGGCTCATCATGGCCTTGTTCGACCTCAGATCGTTGTGGATCAGTTGGAAGAAATGCCGCTGTACCTCTTCTTCTACGTCAGCTCGCTCTGGAAAGGAGACGGCATAGACGAAATCCCAGGCGAGAATCGTGATCGATTATTAGCAGAAAGTAGATCGCTTGTCGATGGCCTGGCTGATCTAGCTTTACAACTCTTCGCGACATATGATCGTGATCTACTTATGGAGTTCCTCAAGTCTTCCACCTTCTATAGTTTCGAAAAGGTTTGTGTGACCTCAATTTGTCCTCGATGCAAACTAACTTTTTACTAGGCAACACTTGAATGTGAAAATCACTCATACATCCCAGAGCTCGTGTATCTCTACTCCAAGACCGGTCAAACAAAACGTGCGCTCTATCTCATTATTGATCGTCTAGCAGATGTCTCACAAGCAATATCATTTGCAAAATCTCAAAATGACGCCGACCTTTGGGATGATCTTCTCGAATACTCTATGGATAAACCCAGATTCATTCGCGGGTTGTTGGAAGAAGTTGGGACGGCGATTGATCCAATCCGATTAGTTCGCAAAATTCCTGAAGGTCTGGAAATTGAAGGCTTGAGAGAAGGTCTAAGTAGAATGATTAAGGAATACGAAATTCAAGAAAGCATCAGTCAAGGAGTAGCAAGAGTGTTGAGAGGTGAAGTTGCAATGGCCCAGAATACCCTTCGAGCAGGTCAACGTCGTGGTGTCAAATTCGATGTCGCTGAACAAGAATTCGAGGTGGATAACGAAACCCAACAACCTCCCACAAGGCGATTATACAAGCACAAGCCTGCACATTGTATAAGCTGCAAAAGCGCCTTTTTTGAAGGCGAGATGGAGACGCTGGTTGGTTTTGCATGCGGTCATGTGTGGCACTTATCACATTTATTGAATTATGGCAAAAGTGAAGATCAGATTCGCCAATCCGCAGATGCAGAAAGACATCCTACTTATGATGGATTTGATGATGGGGAGGATGAGCGCAGATACACGAATGTGCACAGTATTGGGACTAAAGTCACGAGGGCGAGGTTATTAAAGGATAGAATTAGAGGCGGTTGTCCTGTATGTAAAGACAAGGGCGATGGTGCTTATGCTTGATGCGTATTTGCGTGGACTTAGGCGGTATTGTATGGAGTGATGAATGCATGGTTGGGAGCGAGGTATAACGGAGTACGAGATTCAGAATATAATAATACCTATACTTACGGGATAGCTACTCCTTCATACCTTTGCATGAATGTGTAGATCAAAACAATCGCCAAAGTAAAAGAAATTGGTACCCAAATGTAATGCTAAATCCCAAAGCGCCAGCCCTAAAATTCGCCAAACTCACTGGTATATCAATACATCATCATACGAATATACCCCCTCTAAGAATAAATTTTAAAAAGAACCAAAAGCCTTTCACAGACACATCACCAAACACCAAACTCAAGTTGCCCTTTCGATGAACCAGATAAATCACCACTGTAACCCATCTTAATTCATAGGGCTTCTGCCGTCGCGATACAACCATAATCTGCTCAAGTTCTTGACCTTATATCCGCTCGCCCCAAAATCTCCATTGGTCGCCATTATTCCCTCCCCCGGCAAGTTCGTCCCCTTCTTCTTCTTTGGCCCATTCGTTTTTCCACTTTTTGCACTCATCTGTGGCGCAATGCCATCATCGGCGTTCGATTCCCCCACACAGGAAACTTCCCAATCTTCTCTTCCCAGTTTGTCTTCCGGCGCCACGCGACCTCTGCCTTCGACCGAGCTGGTCATAAAGACGTCTTCTTCATCTACACGCTCTCGATCCCAGTTTACGCCTGCAGCCTTCATGTCGTCTTTGATTCCGGAGCCTTGCAATAGCCTTCGCGCGGATTTGGAAAGTGGAAACATGGTGTCTAGATAGTGCTGGACGAACATGTGACCGCTCTAAACATTGGGTCATTAATAGATGGGTCAAAATATCTCTTTAGTTATACTCACAGTTTCTACTTCAAATAGTCTTCCCATAAATCGTGGAGCAAATGTATCATTACTATAATTTGTGTGGTAGTGAAGAACTCCGAATCGAGAGACAAAATCATATGTGTGTGCATAGTGTTCGATGTGTGGGATGGCTTTTCCATTTCCATTTCGGCTAGCTGGGAGTTCTACTGGATTGTTTGAGTTTGTGAACAGGGTGGTAACTGTTCTAGTGAGAGAAGTTGCCCGTAATGACGGGTGGGCCAGGGCGTTATTCTGAGATGCTATTTGTAGATGCGGGTTATTGAAATGGTTAGCGGCGTTTCCGAAGGTGTAAACTTCAAGCTTTTGGAGAAGATCTTGAGGAATCTCGGCGAGCAGCCAGTCTACAATCATGCTGCCCTCAATGGAACCTTGCGAGTGTAGAATGAATATTACTCGTGTGACCTCGGGCTCGTATAATGTTCCTTTAAGGATACGGTAGGAGGTACGAACGTCAGTAGTGGCGTAGTTGAGAGTGCGCTGAATTAGACATTCAAGGAGATCAAAAACAAGTCCCTTGCTGCACTTTGTTAATGAAAAACGAGAATAGAATCAAATGGAACTTACGTTCTGTTGTGAATTCCTAGAACCGGACGGCCGAATGTGAGAGCAAGACGATCTACAGAACCTTTCAGCCAATGGTGACTATTCATCTATTAGTCTACGACAGCAAATGGTTTACTCGGGAGAATCACCCAGTGCAAACACCATTCATGTACACCCATCGCTCATGAGCATGCTCTTCCTTTCTTTGAGCATACTCGGGAGCTGATTCACACGTTGTCACAGATGCTGACCCATTCAAAATTAAACAAAGGTAATAATTGAACACCCAAAATATGGTGAATCCCGTGGCTACTACCCACACGGGCATCATCATCCAGATAGGAATAGAAAGGATAAAACATAATTGCAGAAAGAACAGAACGGCATGCAGTGCAAGATCGAATAGGTTTCCTGCAGAAGGGTATAATTCGTCCAGAACACCAGAAGGTGTGGGAGTCAGAGGTAGAAAAATACCAGGAACAAATCTAAGATTCACAAACACGACCCATAAATCTTGAAGAAATAATTTGGCAGGAGATGCAGTGTAGGACAAAGGGGTAACGAGGTTGGATCCGATTTGCGACGGATAAAATTTGACGGCCATAATTGATGAATTTGCTTAGGAAAAGACAGACAGAATAAACATGAAGATGAAGAAGCAGACCGACACGCAGAAGAAAGCAACGCGAATAATGCTAGAAGTTCATGAAGTGGTATATCAAGGCATTTGTTTTTGTTTCAGTTGATGAAGGAATGTGACGCAAATATTTGATTCCTTTTTTCAACAGCCAGCCTTATTATGAATCACCCGACCCCGAAACAAGTTGACTCTGTGGCTTGGCCCATAGCAGAGTTTCCCCTGAGCAGAACTGGGGCAAGGTGGGTATACTTAGATCAGAAGCTGAGGAACTCGGCACCGTTATTGTAGCCTTGCTCCTCGGCGCTCTACATCATCAATACCTAGATATCGGTGAAGGGGCTTAGCCGGAGGACAGATGACAATCGATCCTCAGCGAAGCCTGTCAACAATGTAGCCATTCCTTCTATAAATGAAATTATATTGGGAATGTGTTCCTGGGTAAATATAGTTTGGTACTTTATTTGGTAGTATCAAAATTAATTATTCCATTTGCGATTGATTTTCTAGAGTATTTTAGCTAATGGTGTTAAGATGGACCAATGCGGTCTGTTTTTTCTCCACCGAATAGGGCTACCCGACGAGGGTTTGTTGTCTTAACCTCAGCTGGTTCTCTGGCGTATTTCAACCAATGATAACAATTGGGGAAAGAGATACAGTTGACTAATTTGCAGGAATGACGATACTCCAAGCTCCTGCTTATGTCTATCTAGTTGAATGTTGAGGCTGAGTGCGACACTTCAACATCACTAGTCAGAGCTTCCGGGCAATCACCGGCTTCGCGTCCGCATCACAACCACATTCACATGAAGCACGTTGTTACGGTATCAACTACATCGAGAGGGGAATTTGGAAGCATCGAAGCTGAAGTAATAACCTTCACAATATCGCCCAAGACTTTTGTGATATCGACCAGCTTCCCACCGGCTCCGTCTCTGCTATCTAAGCTGTGATTATCGTGATGTCTCTTTGGGGAAAAGCTTCCTTTATGCTGTGTGTCTCCATCAATTATCATTCAGCCATTTCTTTAATTCAACCAGGTAGGTACTCAAATTGAGTAGAAGTCCTCCAGAACATCATGGTAAATGGATTCTGTACTCCATTCTTAATCAACAGGCGTCTACAAGAATTGCCTTCATAGATTTCACTTATGGTAGAACCGATATTGGAGATAGCACGAGTGCTCCAGCAGGGTCAAGATCACAAACGGCGAATGCAGAGAGTGCAGTATGTTATGAATTACAATCTTTTAGGCAGGTTTTAGGCGGTGTTTCTGTACATGCATATTGTGTTTATAGCTGAACTGGGAATCGAGTACGGACAAAGTCTGAAGTCTAATGGGGCGTGCCTATATGTTTGATAGGAAAGTCTCAACAGTACAGACAAGACGTCGACACTGTGCAATTAATACAGGAATTACAAAGAGCCAGTGACTTACATTGCCCATCAACTTCTTTCTGCTACCACATCAATTGCGCGGATCATATACATAGATATGTTGCGGTATACAAAAATATTCATGTGTTCACCACCTAAATATCTACCATTCCTGCACACATACACCAACTCTACTATATAAACCCACTTAAGCAACTTCCCTCATCCAGATCGCAAAGGCGACAAACAGTCCTGTTTGTTCAGGTCAAATGCGGTCTGGTGGTGGAGTGGTAATACGCCTGGTTCGAATCGGAAAAAAATCCCGTCGCGGGGTTTCTCCTCCCGTCCCTCTCATGGGACGGCAAGGTTTTGCTAGTTGGATATTTTTTGCTGTCTGTTTTGTTTGTTTTGATTGTTTTTTTGAAGGGGCATGGAGGCAGGTAATGTCAAGACTTCTGGTTTGTGGGTGAGAGACGGCAGTGAATTGAAGAAACGTCGCGTCGACAAAGCGGCAAGATGTACCTTATTATTTCTACCCGAAAATCGAGACTGTAAATGCGATAGCCCAGCCCAGATAATCATACTTAGATCATGAATTTTTGCTTCTGTTGTCGAGTATCTCCTAACTCTAACTGCCGCGTCACCTGATTGCCTTCATGTTTAGGAATACCTTTTCACGCTGTGTGATCCATAATGACCGCCGGCTGCTGTTTTCTTGATGACAAGACAACCGGCCATAGCTCACATGGATATCCCACTCGCGTCTCCAACGACCGTGTTGGCCAAAAGCACTATCAAGACTGCCTGATATGTATTGTTGGCTAACAATACTGTATTTCCGAAGCTCTTCACCAATCAAAAATCAGTATTTCTGCAACAACATGAACGACAGCATCATGTGGTCTAGTTTTTGTTGTAAGCAATACGATTTAATGGCGCCTGACAAGCTGCAGATAAGCGGCATTCAAAAACCGTGTTGCCGGAACCCAATCGTCCTTTACCTACCTAGGTACACGGTATTGCGTTTTTTTGATTCATGGCGGGAGGAAGTACTGACGTCAGAGAATGCAACTCTGCTTTACCTTAATAAGGCCATCAACTGGGTATGTTAGAGTGGAAATTCAAGCATACTCTGAAGAGCTTGAAAATCCTGAAACAGATTTCTGAGTAAAAAAAACCCCCAGACCCAAGGACTTGAGAGATGGTTGATGTGCATGCAAATTTGTCGATCATTGGCGAATCAAAAAAATCTAGCATGATGTTGGTTTCCTTAACAGTGCATGTTTGCGAGCTTGCCTTGTCGCAAAGTATGAGCATATGCCGATGGCGCAGGAGCTCCAAGAAACACTGCTTCCCGTTGTATCAATAGATGTCCAGGAACAACCGGACTTCCGATGCCTGGATAACTGCTTATTTGAAACCAGAGTGTATGTTCGCCCGATCGACAAAGCGTCATTCTTGAAATACAGGAAAAAGATGTGAAGTCAATAAATCACACTTCCTGTTCGGCGTCTGGCAAGTTGCTGATGCCGCATAAGCAAAAGGGCGGGAAATATTAAGCCACCCTCAGATGGTGGCCACGTTTTAATGCAAAGAAAATCCACAACGCACAAATTTTCCAGCCATCAATGCATCTTCGATGTATGGTCGATCTTTTGCCGCTTAGGTCACGTCGTGAAAACTTTGAGATACTGTCAATTACAATTTGTGATGCCTAGACGGATGAATATACAGACAGTAGTACATTTTATGTCAAAATGAACATATCAGAAAACTTTTCGACCTCTTTTGAAGAAGTTGTTGTCCGTCCCCACATTTTAGTTCCTATTGGCCATACCGGACACAGGCACCGATTTGTTGTGTTATCGATGGTCTCGGGGAAATGTTGGGGAAGTTATTGTACGAGATAAACGGTGTGCGTTGGAGGGCCATTAAGATTACTTGGACCGGGTCGTGGTAGTTGCACTCCTTAGATAGTTTGGATGCCCGAGCTCCAATGTTGCTCCGGGAGTCAGGGATGGAAGCTTAAGAGTTGGAGAACGAGTTTAAGTTCGAAGTGCAATTTGGAAAAACCATCAAGAGATTATCAATCCGAGGGATAGGAGAGAATTATATGTCTGCCGAGCCTTCCGAATAGGATCTGAACGCGGGAGCATATGTAACTCAAAAAACAAAAGTTGAACGATTACGAAGGACATGTACGAGTATAATGCTATGGGTTGACGAGGAAAAAAGATCGGCTTGAGGCTCAGTGACTTCGAAGCGCCCGAACGGGGCCGATGGCGTATTACCCCTGATTGCCTTAAGCCCTTCACGGATGGTACCTTTTTGTACCTTGTATATCAGATGAAATTGCGGGAAATTGTTACTACCGAGGCAAAGGAATACATCAAGAGAGAGAAAGGCACACTCCGTATATGTTTTGTATTGAGTTGGCATTCCAAAGAATGGGTACTTGCTATCTACTGCACGTCAATCCCCTTTCAGCAAAATAATTTCATCCCCCTGAGGGCAATTTCAACGAAAGCAATGTAATATCTATTAGGCAAGTGTTGTTCATGTTAGGACGTATCAGATGATTCAGACCAGATCATCCATATCAGAGTTACCAAGCATCGTCTAATCAATCAATTCGGTTATCGGTTACCCACTCGGAAGAAGCGAATGTGATAAAACATAGTGTCGTACAGTAGCTAATGAGCTTTTAGATGTCAAAACTCAATAATATTCTCATATCATCAAATCTCAACCCATCCCACTCTTCATCTGAAGGGTTCTTGTTCTCACCTCCACTGATTCCACTTAATCAACAGGGTTTTGTTTTTCTATTTCGCTGATCCGGTCTGGTGGAATCATTCTGCATCGGCTGGCTGTCATTTGACGCAGGGGATAATGTAGTTACCCTACTCTGACATCCAGCCAAACATTCTGGCTCTTTTCTATGCACAGGCTGTCAGCTCTATGGAACCCACGAGCAAAATTGCCGGAAAGTAGGACATGGTAGGTCAGGTACGGAAGCCCAGTACGAAGATGCAGGGGTAGGGCGGAGGTGTCACCTCAATCTCTCAATCTCTCCCACACCATTTCCTATCTCATATATTGACATACACAAACCTTGCCAATTTCTGAAGGATGTCCGCACTTAAGATGTCAGGGTTGCACAAGTCCAACAAATGGAAAATGGAAACGAAGTCAACGCACCATGGATTTCTGGTATTACCTGCATCGTGGTGCATATTTGCCTGTGATAATGGATAAAATGCCGATCACAAATTCATTTTATCCCAAACAATCTAGAAACATCTAATAGAAAAGGTTATGCAGGAAATTGGACAAGAGAAGTGTGTGAATGGGCGAGCAAGCAGGATAACAAGCAGATCTTGGAAGCGCTTTCGAAGGACTTTTCCAAGGTTCTATTCCTCTGAAAAAGATTTCTCGTTGATCTATCTTGCACAGTGGAGATATAGGTATGAGCTATTACCTAGGTATGTGAGATTTTACGATATGAGTTCATCATGCTTCACCTAATGCCTGAATAGAAATGCTTACCTTTTCGTGTTTTGTTCATTTGCTGGCTTTGTTGGCGTGGTCTCGTTCGCTCTCCACGTTACAGGGAGCAGATATCACTATAACCAATAACCAATAACCAATAGGGGGGTCAGCATGAAAGCTCACGCTGTGCCGTTTCAGTGTGGACATATGCACTTTGGAAATTTAACCGTAGTTCTTTTCTGTGCGACATTACAATTTACCTTACTTCACTTACCTTGCTTGCCATTCATCTACTGCAATATCAGCTATCGATCGCTCTTAACCGTTTCGTATACAACATCATACATCTCTTGTGTTCGCAACTTCATGCCGATCCAATTGTTTTCGATCAAATTTTTGAGCTGCAAGCAAATATCCATCCATCCATAGAATTCAACATCAAGACGGTCTACACATATGTAATAATGTCTGTGAGACGGACAAGATCGGTATCTAAGTGGAAAGAAGTCCTAGGCTTCGACGAGGGGTTCTACCCCACATCCGAAACTCCTCCTCCATATCATCGCTATGAATCCCCCGAATCCATCTATGAATCAGTAGGGTCGATCAGTCCTACTGTATCCTACTATCATGAGACGCTCGAAGAACTCACTCCCAAATTTCAATATCACGACGCACCAGAAGTCGTAAATCACAGTTACAATGATGCGCCCGAGGTGATAGAAACTCCCCTCGATTATACCTATTCAGATGCTCCGGAAGCAGTGATAGAACCTTCAGATGCCTTGAAGGCAGTTATAAAATCTTCAGATGCTCCGGAAGCAGTTATTCGATCCCCCACTTCATCTACTTTTTCACAAACCCCCATATCAGCGATAACGTCGAGATTTAATACCACGACTCATTCAACGCATGCACCGAGCAATACTGCATCTCATACCCCTTCCCATACCCCTATCAATCCTTCTAGTTCTGGAATCAGATTTCCACGAGATTTAACTTTTACGAGGAATTCGATATACGATATCCTTCTCTCGCCATCGTCAGCACAGCCAGTGAGCAATGGCCATAAACCTGCCTCTTCACCACCACCACTCTTCTACATAACGATCCATCAATCCACACCACAAAGTGTCCCAGCCCTACCACCTCCCAGTAATCCCAATAAACCGGATATAGCGCTCCATTCCACCGCCTCGCCCAATTCGCCCCTCCTCGCTTTTGCAAGCTTCAACACCGTCACCCTCATAACAGATATAACCACCCTCCCACCACCCACGCGCCCGCTCTCTCCCCTCACACCCCCCTCGTCCTCTTCTCACCCCTCAAAATCCATCGTTCCACCCCCAACAACCTACAACCTTCCTACCTCCCCCAGCGACTCCCTCACATTCGGCGTCCGATCCCAAGGTTACAAGACCGAAAAATTAGTTCCTACCGGCGGAATCTTTACCGCCGAACGCTACGCCTTCTACCACACTCTTCCTCGTACTTTCGTAAAAGAGAAATTCGAATGGCGCCAAGTCTCCTCATCTTCCTCCGCGCCACATGTCGGTCTTGCTTCCGTGCCCGAGGAAATGACTAGTAAGAAAGGCGGGGTAAAAATGAAGTTAATGCGCTGTTCTACGGGCGAGACGATAGCTGTGTATGTCGGAGTTGGGAATGAAGATTGGGCTGACAAGGAACGGAAAAGAAGGCCGAGAAAGGAGAGGGGAAAGGTGTTAGGGATGATGAGGTGGCTAGAGCTCGAGAGTGGGAGCGCCGGGCTAGGAGACGAGTTTGAGTTGATGGGAGTAATGAGTGTGTTGGGGGTCATGGAAAGATGGAGGAGGGTGATGAATGTACAGAAACAGTTGGGAATGTTTACTTCGTGAGATCGGGGGCGAAAACACGATATGTCATGATAAATGAGGATCGATGAAGACGAAGGAGAGAATTTGCAGATGCAGATGCAGCAAAAATTGTACATGAGATTGGAGAACAGTTAAGACCTTCCGCGCTGGATTTGGCATGTATTTAGCAGGTTATTTTACATTCTGATGTATGTTATGTATGTTATATACTTAGTACGTTGTATATGTTATAGTATTTTTTGAAATATTCAAAGAAGAAAGAGTATGGATGAGCAATAAATGAAGAGACGTTTTCCAAATCGCAAACTCCAAATCATATCAACATCATCGAGAACGAATCCTTTAGCTCGATCTCTGCCCCTCTGCCAAATACTCCCAATCTCCTTCACCCATCCACCAACACCAAAGCAATCCCCAAGCTCCATGCTCCAAGCTCCCAGCTCCCCTTATCTACCAATCCAACATCCATCAACCAACACCCCAAGCTCATAGCTCCTCCACTTTCCTCCCTACTTCCCCACCTGACCAATATTATCCACCCAACCCTTACCATTTCCAAGCCATCGAGCCTCGTTCGTTTATAACCCATCCTATCCTGCATACCCGCATACCTCATTGTCCATTCACCACTTCCCAGTGTGCCAAAACTATCCTTGGTCCATCCTGTGTCCATCTTATCATATCCAATACCCAACGCGCCTCCTATGCCGAACTCCGGGCGCGGCGATGCCTTTCTACTTACTAAGAAAACAATTACTGAGGAAACCAGGATTTGATACTCAAGAACTTGTGAAAAGGTTGTCAAATTCGGTCAGTGCATGGACTGACGGGACACTTTTGAACTTTCAAAAATTCTGACGAATTTATTATCTGAATCATAGTGACAGTGTTTAAGATATTTGAGCTGATTTTTTCAAGAGACATTGCAAAGCCGATTTTCGCAGTGTACCGTCAACTCGCACACCCACTGGTAAACTATCTACTTCTATATTGTACATCAAAAAAAGCCCAATTCCAGAACCTTTTAATTCTAAGGATTTACTAATGTACAATCAATTAGATTTAAATAATGGAATATCTCAGTAGAAATCCCGAATTAAGGTCTTTTCAT